GATGTACCAAAGCAATGAGATCAAACGCCAAAGCAACGAGAAGAAAAACACCACAGTGATGACACGATAATTCGACAAGATAAGATGATGCGCCACAGCGAAAAAATAATGCACCGTATCGATGAGACGATTGTCTGAACGACAAAACGATACGCCGGAGCGATGAGACGATGCACCGGAATAAAATGATATGTTGAAGGGACATGACGATAAGAGATCTGAAACAGCGACGAGACGACGCAAGGGTACGATATCTATGTGGATGTTTTATATCGTTCCATTGTTACAACGTGTTGTTTCGTCACTTAGTCGTTTTGTGTTTATGTTAGGGGATTGTGTCGGGTCACCGTTTAAACATGAGATATATTTTTATATTCTTACATTACAAATTGAATCTTATTTAGCCTATTAGGGTTCGTACAAACTCCTGAAGCCTTAACTACATGACCTTTCTATGGTACTCATAAATTTACCACGATACCAGTAGAATTGGCGTATGCTTATATTTCAATGTCTATATATTTATATTTTTGTAACATCTTTCTTCAAGCTGGCAATAAATGATTGCATGAACCTACCAATTATTGGCGTTTGACATTGTACATACATTTGACTAATTACATAACATGGCATGTGCAGTTTCACCCAATCACCTGGGAAGGGCTGATGAAGGCCCAATTATTTCCAATCCAGTATTAAAGCTTTTTTCAAAGTTTATGCTGTGTCAATAATCATATCATACAGTGCAAAAGGGCTTTGCAAAATGATTAGACTTCAGTTGTTATATCCGGTCTTTGTATTGTTGATTTGTCCCCCTTTTAGTGTTATAGTCCTAGATAAACTTAATTGGACAGTGTAAAAAATTTATAATAAAACAATCTTAGTAAATTTTATTTGGCAGGATATGGTTTTAAAAATGTCATAAAATGACTTATATAAGTTTTAATGGCCATATTTATTACAAATTGGACAAAAGTATGTTGCTTCTGTATAAAACATCCATTGACTAGGCCAATATATTGTATGGATACAACAGGTCTTCATGTAAATTATGTTGAAGAAAACAAATCGTTGATATACTGAAATTAGCAATACTTTGAGATTGTAAAGTATCAAGTGTAATAGATGACATACTTTCCAAGGTTAAGTAATAGAAAGAGCACCAAAACACGAGGCTATCTGATTTGTACGAGGGGGCGTAGCCCCCGAGTATAAATCAGATTGCCGAGTGTTTTGGTGTTCTTTCTCTTTTGTATCATAGTCAAACATGACAGCACGTTCCCTGTTGTCATCATATGAAACCCCAGAAAAAATGAACCAATGAACGAGTATTTGAATATGATATTTCTGCCCCTTTCCCTTTCTCTGCCGTCACAATAAGTAAACCCCAGCAAAAATGAACCAATCAACGGGCATTGTCTGGAGTGCGGGTAACTGATACCTGCACTCCAGTTACCGCACTGTGCATGTATGCATGTATATGTATACGATTTAACTCTGACAATTTTTCAACAGAAAGGTCCCCAAACTATGATACAAATGATATATATAATGGTCAATTTTTCTTCTTACCATTTGCATTAAAACATTTTAGTATCGTTTTATTTATTGTACCATAATGTAACCTTCTGTAGGACAAACATGCAATACCGGTAGTTTGAATACATTGAGGTCATGTTTTTTTAAAATACAACAACCTTTTAATGAATGATAATGATTATATGAAATTTGTGGGAGGGGGATAACTCCTCAGAGCATAAAACAGTAAACTGTGATATGGTCTGTGACTCTGTGGAGTTGTCTCCCTTAGAGGTAAAAATACATAGTCCCTTGTTTTTCTTTTAGAGTGGCTTTTCATGTATTTTATGTTTGTGTTTTACGTTTTATATGTAATTTTATGTATACATGTAAAGATGAGACTGAAATAAAGAAATTATATTTACGTGATTAACAAAAACTTTCAAAGGTTACACAATAATATAGCAAATAAATCTAGTTCATTGTTTACATTTAAATAAGAAACAGGGTTAGAAATAATATATATAAGTCGAACACTTTAACGTTTACATTAATCGATCGAACCATTATGATATAATGGGTTGTTCAAGTTTTTCAATTATTATGTTTTGCATTTTAATTGCAATATAGAAGAATAAACGTGGATATAGTCACATAAATCCGAGTAGCGTAGTGGTATTCAGATTATGAAGCTTGGTTGGGTTTATGAATTCGAATATGAATATGGTTTTATTGTTGGATAAACTTTTGACGGCGAAGCAAAATTGAATGTATTTATTTTTTATAACTGTCATTGAACAAATTAAACAGTATTACCAATTGTATTCTGTTTTAAACTCTGAATTCCATCCGCCAAATTTTTCACAATTTTGGCTCATTTGTATTTTCTGTATATGTTCTTCCATTGCTAATCTATTACACTTATCACGTACTTAACCTGTTAAATGCGAATGTGGGTATATGTTCTCAAATAGCATTTGTATCATAGTTTGGGTACCTTTCTGTTGAAAATGTGTCGGAGTTAAATCGTACAGATATACATGCACAGTGCGTTAACTGGAGTGCAGGTATTAGTTACCCGCACTCCAGAGCATGCCCATTGATTGGTTCATTTTTGATTGGGTTTACTTATTGTGACAGCAGAGAAAGGGAAAGCGAAAGAAATATCATATTCAGATGCTCGTTCATTGGTTACTTTTTTCCGGGGTTTCGTATTGCGGCAACAGGGAACATGTTATTTTTTACTATGAGACAAAAGAGAAAGAACATCAAAACACTCGGCAATCTGATCAATACTCGAGGGCTACGCCCTGCTCGTACAAATCAGATAGCCTCGTGTTTCGATGCTCTATCTATTACTTGTTTGAATGAAATTTCCGGGGAACTAAATACAGTTCGTTGTATAAAACAACTATAAACAAAAAATGAAGAAAAAATGCCTTTTTCAGAATTCGAACCAGGGTCTCTACACTCACAGAGCGAACACTCTACCACAACGCCATTATGCTTAACGCATGGAAAATGAGTGATTGATAAGGTGGTAAAATATTTAGGCGATTAATAGTATACTTTTATATTAGAATTATCGACACCCCTATTTGTCAATATTGACAGATAATGAAAGGATTGGCGAATTCGAGCTGTAGTTCATTGTTCATGTGTTGTTCACATTTCAGAGGTTACACAACAAAATAGGAAATAAAATTTACAAAAATATTCATTGTTTACATCATTTCAGAAATAGCAAACGGGACTGACAAAAACATAGTTTATTGTTTACATGTTACAATGTTGAAAAGCGAAATAACTCATCTTAGCAAATGTGATAATTATAATTGAATTAGATCCCTTGCATGAGTTTATGAAATTATACATTTATTTTGGAAATTTGTTTTTAATGGTTTTCTTCATTTGAATTTAGTGTGGCATTTATCATCAGAAAACAATTTTCTCAATACGAGAAAGCAGAGATGTCAAACAACTTTAATCAGCATTTTAAAACCATTAACACCCTTAAAAGGAATTTTGAGGTTATAATATTTTGTATTAATCATATTTCTTTTAAATCAGACTAATAATTATTAATATATTGGTAATTTAATATTAAAACTCTCATTTGTTTCCAGTGACTGTGCGCTTCACAGTTCCACATTATTTCATGAGAAGCTGAGTTCACGATAATAAATGTGAAGTTTGCAAACTTTACAAGTTGTGAAATTTTAACATCCACACTTTTTTTATGTAAAGTCTGGGTAGTTTATAAACTGCTGTGAGACACACACGCAAACAACTTGCAAAGTACAAGTATAAGTTTTTTTATCCAAGAAACAACTGATCTTTAAGGTATTTACTTATTGTGCTGAATATTTCCTACAAGTCTTTACAACGAATTAACATTTTTGATAAAGTATATATTAAGTAATTTAAAGCTGTTAATTTTATCGATTAACAGTAGCAGTTTTACCAGGCTTAATGACAGTACTGAATGGTTATTATTTGAATTTGAATTTAAGAGAATATGCATTTTATGCCTAAACTTGTGACTTTGTTGAATGTAATTGAGTCTGAGAGTATATAACTGTTTACAAAATAATAATGGCGTCTTGTTGGCATAAGAGGTTCATAAAATATAATTGCGATTGACTGTTGAAAGAGAATATGATATATGCGTTCATCAAATGAATAAAATTTGGTCTTAAGTTTATCACAAGTCGTAGTTTTCGATACATCACATGGTTTATCACCAGATTTTGTTAATTAGCTGACCAAGATCCCTACCTATAGCATTGCTCATCATTACCCTAATTCGGAATCCAAGGCTCGAGCTACCAACATCTCTGTCCGAATAGCGTAAACAATATGCAGTGAGGCAGTGTTTTTATTTTATGCCTATTCAATATGTCATAACAAATCAATAAAAAGTTAAAACTCTACCAAAAATGATTTGTATTACAATATTTTCTATACAAAACTAAAGATAGTGCAGTATTATCTTTGTGCGATAAATTAATTTATATGCACAGTACTGACCAGATAAAAACGATTGTCAGAGCTATTTTTAAAAAAACAATAACCATTTAAATGTTTTACAGCTTCAAACACATTATTTTTCAAAACTAATTCAAAACGTTTTTGTTGACAACAACAATAAACATCTGGGACAAATTGAAACATGTAAAGTCTGATGCTCCATAGACGAGTATAGAATTATTTCCCTTTTTTATAAATAAATTTATTTGCATTCACTTTGAGCTCATTCAATTAATTACTGAATTTCAAAGAAATAGATCACCACTTTGGATTTCAATACATTTTAAGGGCATGACTGGTGACATGCCAGGGGTCCGTACTCTCAGTGCCTGGAAGGGCGGATAGACCCTCATTAAGTATAGACAACAACAACAAACAACAACAACAACGAGTAGTAGAAACGACATCTTTATATTGATTTTTCTATTGATGCAGAAGTATTAGCAACATACTTGCAACATACCAATAATTAAAGATTTTAAGAAATGTTCCCAAATTCTTAGCCTTGCTTTTCTTGTGCAATCCAGAGTCGTCAACACATATCCTTGCACGAGGTTCACCGTTAGCGTTGCTATTGATAAGTACAAATTGGCTGTCGAAGTAGAAACGCTGTGTTATGTAGCTGTAGAGAATATGCTTTTTGCGGTTGACCAAAAATTCTGATGGATTTAGTTCAACTTGGTCGCAGATATACAACTTTGTATAAAAAGAGTTGTATTTCTTTCCCGTGCTTTTGGCGATTATTCTTTTATAGAAAGGGTATTCGAAATAGACAGTTCTGTTATTCACAATATCTGTTTTATTTTCCTGATGGTGCTTCCCAAGATAAGTATTTGTAGAAAAACCTGAGGATTTGAGGAATTCCGTTCCATTGTCTGTACGTAATGTCCATGGTTGTCCAATCAGGTTCTGTATATTTCGTTTTAGGGTATCAGGTTTAATACTTGACAATGTTCTAACAACGACAATAACTAAATTGTTTGCCATGTTCGGTACTTCCATAACTTTGTAGTATATAATGCCAATTGACCAATGCTTCATCCATTTTGGTTCAAGACAGCGAAACACTGTTTCCAATTCTTTCCCAATTACATAACTGAACAATTCAGCTAAATTGATTGAGTTTTCCAATGTTAGGTTAATATACACGGCAATATTTTGATTGTTCCACATTTTGTTTGGATATACACATTTATAAGTAACGTCTCTGAGTTGGCCGGTCGGACAAAAGATTTCTCGGCAACTGTTTGTCTAAAATATAATAATATTAAAAAGGTATTAAGTTGTATAAGGCTATGTATTTTGGTACTTTCAGCGTGGGACAATTGATATCTCGCTTGGCCTTCGGTCCCAAGAGATATGCATCTTCCGAAGCTGCTCCTAGTAAAGTACAAAGTCTCAGAAACCTACTCTAATTTAACATTTTATCTTCATCTTTTATAAAGAAATGTTTTTTCTTGCATATCATACTTGTGTTTCCGTTAGTTTTACACATGCCCGAAATTTCATCTGGCATGGGGGGGGGCAGATGAGTCGCGTGCTATACAATGACATGCTTTCGCCGTTATATCATTTTATACGCTGTTGAGTGTGATGACATGGACAATTGTTTTACTAAGGTGAAGAATTTAAAATATGATGGTGAATGGTAGAATTTGCAAGAAAGAATATCTGAAATATGTTTGCGGTTCTGATCGGAACATCAATCCATCGGGAACCCGTCCAAAAGATAGACTCTTATTTCCATTGTGGTAATGATGCAAATATTTTCAATTAACTACTAGTATTATCATAATTAGATTTCAATAATTTTAACACAGGGTTACTAAAATTACAGCATAATAACACATTATTCAAGTTAAAACAGAATAAATATACTATGAAGGAAATGATAAAAAATAATAAGCATTTGATATTTTACCTTAAAACGAACTTCAATAAAACAAAGTATCCTTTCTATTACAGTCATAAAATTAAATGCACCGTTGTAACTTAACCTGGTCTAGTATGAATGTACAGGGAGTGACCGTTGGGATGAAATGTTCTTCCATTAAATATTTTACTCTTAAAGCATGACACTGGATGATCTGAGCTACAAGTTTATTGAACGGTAACCAGTTGAGTGCGCGAAAGATATTTGGACCAATATGTGAACTGGCATCAATATCAAGGACAAACCTAATCCTAATCAGAGTTATTTGAAGTTAAATTTTAAGGAACTGGGAGAGACAGGGATACCAAATTGAAAAGCAGTAATTAAAATTACATTGGATTAAGGTATATCGATAACTAGACGTTTCTTAGTTTATTTGCGTAAATGTATCCTTTTTGCGATATAGATATTTAAAACGTACATTAGCATAGCCTTATGCAACAATGACCTTAACATTGCATCAACTGCTATTGATTAAACTATAATTTGTGTTGTTTCGGCATATCTGACCGAAGAAGTTGGTTTAACAACTGTGCCGTCATATAATATTAAGGGATGAATTTGACCTAAGTCTATGTTTAGACCCAAATATGATTGACTCAGTCTTGCCTAGATGTAGAGATAACTTATTATCCACCAGCCACTGGCAAACAAAGATCCTGGGCATGTTCATCATCAGCCTTACATTTAACTGAAACCAGAGTTCCTAAAATCATGATTTGAAATTATTTCTTAAATCAACTGTTACACTTAAAATAGAAACTTATGCAATAGATGATATGTAAATATACTAGGTAGCAAATTGATCATCGGCTTTTTATGTGTTATTTTTTCGGCCGTTTTGAGTGCGAATTTTAAGCATTTGAACAACGCTTTTTATTTTTGATTCAATTGCGTAATAATATTGATTATCCCTGGGAAGCGATTTGAGCAAATGATCTAAAATTTTGCACTCGATGTATTGCGCCTACATAAAGTAATACAAAAGGTCCCTTCATGCCAAAAAAAACCAACCCTCAGTGTTGTCCCTTAACACTTAACTTGGTTGATAAATTAACACAATATTACATTTACCAAAGGTTTGCATAGTATGACTTTATTTAACTCGTTTACATAATTAAGTATTAAACCTAACCTCCATGAAAAGTACTAATGAAATTATCATATTTATAGAATTTATAACAATGTTGTAAAATATACTACATTACAACATTTTTTTACAAGTTGTGGGTCCAACAGCGTTAAGTTAATAGCCATAAACTTGGCTACTTAGCGGCATAACGGCTTAGCGGCGTGAATTAAGCGTCCTAAATCATGAAATCAAAAATTCTTTTCCAAGTGATTTTTCCGCCCGTATACAACTTGTATAAGCCATTAGACGGCTTTTAGCCGCTAATTAAGCCACCAAATTCACAACGCTAGGTTGCTAGGCAGCCTATTTCACTGATCTGAATTTACTGCAAAATTTAAACATTAAATTTAGTAATCAGGGACTCGTTATTTTCAACATCTAACAAATTAGGAATAAGCCAATATGTCAAATATCAAATTTCAGCATAGTACATGTATAAATTTAAAGAAAACAATTAAATATTTATAGAGTTTTAAATTATCTTTCACAGCACTAAGATCTTGTTTTTCGAAAATGACTTAATTGGTGAACATGTGGTTAAGGTGTCTGCAACTCAGTCCAGGGAGCACGGGTTCGAGCCCATCTCTGGCCACGACCTTGTATCACAACAAGGAATTACTGACTATGCTATCGTAATAGAATTACAACAACAACTTTTAAACGCAAAATATAATTACTACAATTCGGAAAGGGTTTATTCCTATTTGATTTTCTTATATGAGAATAGCTTACATCAGATGGAGAGCATGCAAGAGGCAAAACTTGTCCTCTAAGACGGCTAGAGTCGTCACTTCTCTCAGTGATAAACTTTTGATCGATCAGTGCAATGAAACGTCTAGAACCTCCACTTTTACCTGCACTTGTAGACAATTTATCACAGGTGTCTGCTCGGGAGAATGTTTCTTCATTACAAATGCTACAAAACACATTAGCATACAACTTTCTTCCTCGATATGGTGATCTTATACCACTGTTTGAACATAGCGCTTTTAACTCATCTTCTGAGACATTTGTCCCCTCGGGCACCTGGAAATCTTTGGAATTAGGACACGTGTCCGTAAGATTGATGTAACATCGAAATGGATATAAAATATCTAAATCTCTTGGAAAGATGAAGTTTATTTTACAGTTCTCAGGAACTGAGCTAGTGTCTAGCCAAGTCGCAGCCTCAACAATGTCTTTGCAATCGATAAAGGCATCCCAAAATATTACGTCAGAACCCATACCATCTTCGCGTGCGCATTCTATATTTTTGTAAATACGTCTGGATTTTGGTGAGTAAACAGGGTATAAACTGCCCCAAGGCGCGACATTTTTATCGCCACATGAAACATAAGATTGTCCTTTTCTACTGGCAGTTTCCTTCACAGAGGTTACCATGAGAAACGATTGATGTTTTAGTGCATTTGCTTTGTCCTGCGGCAAAATAGCATACAGACAAGAGAGGTCATTTTCGTTATCTTGTTTAGACTTTTCTTCTGACTTGCTTTCAGAAGGCGGTGTGTTCGGGAAACAACAATTACGAGTTATCGTACATTCAGCTGCACATGAACATTCTGAAATGATGTGGTCAAATTTGTAAATATATAAAATATTTTCATTTGTTAAACAATCATACAAAGCACTTTTGGTTGCAAAATAAACCATATTGATTATCAAAACAATTTTTGTGAAACTAATATTATATGAAAAGAAATATTTTAATCATTTTTGAAAGTATGTTATATTGCCATGGTGCTCCGATTTTTCAAAATCGTCAGTCAGTTTAGTTATTATTATTTTTTTCAAACTTTTTACATGCCTTCAGTATGTTTCAGCCCAAAATTTCATTCATTCTTTGGGAATTAAAGATTTATCGAGCATTTTTTAACGTATTAGTTAGATCCTTATCAGAAGAAATAAAACGATTCATACAGCTTAAAACTGGCGACCACTGTAGCTGTTTTAGACGAGTTTTTTCTTATTACCTTAGCATTTGACATACTTTTCTGCACATTTCGGTTTCCAGTCTGTTGGAGCCGATACAACAATCTATTTGGGTAGGCTATTTTGGGATATTATATACTAGTATGCAAGGGTGTGCTGACAGTAGGCTGAATCGTTGTTACAGTTTTTTCATTACATCTGTACGCTTTATGGACGTAAATAGTGTAAGTGTTTTGGGGGGTTATACCGGTATACATGATATTGTAGAAAGCGATGTTATCGGTTATTGGTTAGAATCTGAGAGCAATGTGGCTACCTGGAGTCAGTATATAGGGTAGTATACTCGAATATACCACATCTTCAGGTGAAAGAGACATTTTCATGTGAAAGAGATGTGGATAAACACAGACAGTGAAAAATATTTTGCAAAATGGTTGAAGCACAGCATAATTGCAGGATATTGCGTTTAAGATAGATAAAATGTGTAATGATGAACAAATAATTTAAGAGTCTCGTTAGTTGTAACGTAAAAATAACGTTGACGGTATACGGACACTGACATTTGGTCAGTAGTTGGTGGATATTTAAAGTTTTAGATGACAAATTTATGATGAAAGCATACTGTAAACAATTTTGCTTGTCATTAAAACACTTAATGCATTTTTTAATTCAATATCATGATGCCCTAGTACATCAGGTATAAATGGTTTTGAGCAATTGTGTGCCGGTGAGGATTATTGGTTCGTTCAACATGCAAGAGTAACAGTAAAGTGCGTTCATGAAATAATAGCAGGGCAACACGCGAGTTTTATTAAAATGTTTTCCGTTACAGCCTTGGTTCTTAAGTATACTGTTTTAGACATACCCATTAAACTAAAAAAGTAAGATACAAACTAAATATTCTTATATACTACTTATTGCACAATTCTTTAACCATTGCTTTCATTTTTTACTTAGCTTAGTGGTTTTAGTTATTTTCTCAGCAGGTTTAATTTACAATTCATACAGAGATTTTGTTCTAAATACAAATGTATTGGTTTTTAATGATTTTTCTTTCAGGAAGGCCTGCAACATTTTCAATTTGTCGTTTTGGGCGTTAATTTACAAATTTTGTCGGTTTGATTGAGCCTGTTCATGGATGGTTACTGAAAAATGCAAGATATTGTACAGGGTCCAGCAGAAGAGTCGGCTTCAGCAGAATTCAATATTTTTCTAAACACGAATATGGGGAATTTTTTAATTTAGAAACATCCGCAGATGTGTTCATACTGTGGTTATTATGGAACCTTCAATATAACACTTTCGCACCATTCCATGAAAAGCGGCTTATGATCCTCAAGTAAAAAGTGCCCTAAACGAGAAAATAATGGGTGGAACTAAACGAAATGGAATTTTAAAAGGGGATCACAGAGGTTATGAAGCACTGATAAGACGTCAAAAGATAAATTTGGAAATAATGCACCCTAGAACACTTACCTCTTTGATTTCTTTCGAAACAAGTTTAAAGAAAAGGCACTGCTGTGTGTAGAATAGTCAAATTAGGAGACATTAAAGAACTCCCCAAAAAGACAAAATTGAAAATGTTTGGATTGAGCATGTTCTTGGACAGTAGTTTAAATGTAAACTTGCGTAATTCAACAATATTAACAGACACTCTTACACTAAGAAAAATGCAATCGGGATTAACTTCAGAATATGTGAAAAGAAAAAGAATAAAAATTATCAGATCAAGCAGAAAAAGATAATTAAATGTATAAAAAACAGAGCCAAGAAAGCGAAAAAGAAATTCACTTAATAATGAGAATAAAAAAAAATCTTATTCTTCATTAAACGAGGACTGTTTTTTTTATTTATTTACGAAGAGCATTATTCCAACAGTAGACCAGGAGTAAACTAGAAATGTGTCCATAGGACACGGGTGCCCCCACCGCGCCACTGTTCTGTCAATCTTTTTACTAAGTCAAGGGAAATAACTCTACAAATACTGGATAAATCCACAAGCCAAACCCAAGGTGCAAATCTAAATATGCTGAGCAACCTGCCCATAAGGTTTAATGACTATGTCAAATCCGTTTTGAGTAACTTGCGACACAATTTGAAAATTGCAAAAATTTTGTAAGTGAAGGGCAATAACTCTAAAAATACTAAATAAATCCAGACAAAATACCTGGTGCACAACTGCACATGCTGATCAATATTCCTGTAAAGTTACATGACTCTAGGTCAAATACTTTTTGCGTTACGTGCGACACATGTTGAAAATTGCAAAATTTTACTAAGTCAAGGGCAATTACTCTGAAAATACTAAAAAATTCCAGACCAAAATACCTAGGTGCACAACTACACAAGCTGATCAACATTCCTGTAAAATTTCATGACTCTAGGTCAAACACTTTTTGAGTTACATGCGACACAAGTTGAAAATTGCAAAATTTTACTAAGTCAAGGGCAATAACTCTGAAAATACTAAAAATATCCAGATGAAATAACCCAGGTGCATAACAACGCATGCTGATCAACATTCCTGTAAAGTTTCATGACTCTAGGTCAAATACTTTTTCAGTTACATGCGACCCAAGTTGAAAATTGCAAAATTTAATTAAGTCAAGCGCAATTACTCTGAAAAAAACTAAAAATTTCCAGACTAAAATACCCAGGTGCACAACTAAACATGCTTATCAATATTCCTGTAAAGTTTCATGACTCTAGGTCAAATACTTTTTGAGTTACATGCGACACAAGTTGAAAATTGCAAAATTTTACTAAGTCAAGGGCAATAACTCTGAAAATACTAAAACTTTCCAGACTAAAATACCCAGGTGCACAACTACACATGCTGATCAACATTCCTGTAAAGTTTCATGACTCTAAGTCAAATACTTTTTCAGTTACATGCGACACAAAAGTGAACGGACGGACGGACGGACGGACGGACAAGGGTAAACCTCAATGCCCGCCACTATCGTGGGGGCACAAAAAGATCTAATACTGCATGTTGCATGGAAGGATTTGGCACATAAATAAAATGTCACTGTCTTACTAATGCTATGACTAACATTTATTTAAAGTTTTCGGTATGTTTTGGTATGTTTCCAAATGTATATACACAGTGACATTTTCATTTATGAGGTCTTCCTCCACCAATAAGACTGGAAAATCGCCATTAAAACTTAAACTGTGCCGGTGCGACGTAAAACACAATCAAAAGTATCTATGTTGAGCCTAATTGAATTCGATGTTAGCGTCACATATTACCACGTGCTAAATATCCAATTCTCATTATTTTTCATTTTACCTAATTTACACATACTTCAAACATGGCTCAAATATGATTAAAAGGGTGTTGCTATAAACAATTTTATCAATTCATCAATTACAAAAAAAAAGAAAAAAAAGAAAGAAATCAAACAAGACAACTCCATTATCATATGAGGAACCTTTTGGAATTTCTAAAGAAATCCTTTTAGAAAATGACGTAATAGTATTATAGTAATCAAATTGACAATTAGGCTGGCTGTCTCTGTAAATTGGGTATATTTAACAATTTAGTTTAGGAACGTAAATTTTAATTAAATCTTAAACATTTACAAGTGCAGTAAGTATTGTAGTTATCAAATTGACAATAAGGATGGCTGTCTCTTTAAATTGGGTCTATTAAGGAACGTAAATTTTGATTAAATCTTAAGCAATTACCAGTGCAATAAGTATTGTAGTTATCAAATTGACAATAAGGATGGCTGTCTCTGTAAATTGGGTATATTTAACAATTCAGTTAAGGAACGTAAATTATAATTGAATCTAAAACAATTACCAGTGTAGCAAATATTGTACATGTAGTTATCAAATTGACAATAAGGATGGCTGTCTCTGTAAATTGTTTCTATTTAACAATTTAGTTAAGGAACGTAAATTATAATTGAATCTAAAACAATTACCAGTGCAGCAAGATTCTTTTCCTGGATAAAATTCAATGTCGTCTGACGATTCCGATGAACGGTTAGTGGGGCATACATTGCTTCCAGGACAAAGGTAGTTGACGAGGTCCGGTATCCGTCTATATAGCGCGGAGTCTCCATTTGCTTGTCCAGTCCAAATAAGCAAATACACCATCATTGGCACCAGTTGAAACATCTCTGTATTTTGAAATGTATGATTATAAATTAGTCTAGCTAAATTTAAAATAGATAGGTTACATTCGTGTCGTTATTATAGACTAACAAAATTATTGAATCCCTAGGCATCGAGCTTAAGTAGAATAATACAACTTTGAAAGTTACTGCAAACATTTGAACATCTAAAGCTGTGTCTTTAAGACGGTGAACATAAACTTTTCTATGTCCTTTTTCTCAGAAAATATAAAAGCTATCAATTTAAACCTTGGTATGTTTATTGTTGTAAGAGGTCGCCATTTCAAAAGGGCAAATGATATAGAATTATTAAAATATAGAATTAATTTATGCCCCCTTTTCAACCTAGAATTTTAGTCTTGTTACTCTTTTTGTTAAGCTCTATTTTCACAGAAACTATCAAAGTAACTCGCCTCAAATTTGATTCACATGTTTGCTTAAAAATGATACCATTTCAGAATAGAAGATAATTCGCAAACTCATTTTAGCAAAGCCATGCAGAGTTTTCGACTTTTTATATTAGGTCGATTTCTCCAAAACTGACGAAGTTGTTCTTTTTAAACTTGTTTAGATATGAAATAAGAATGCATTTCTAAATTACAGATAATTTTATGCATTAGGTTTTTTCACTTTTCCCCACTGTTTGACTTTGAATTTCTTGGGTTTTTTTTGTTAATTTACATAATTCAGAAAGTGTCAAAGATATTCTTTTAGAAATTGAAATATTTGTTTACCATCAAATTTGAAATGCATTTCTTGAGCGAAGAAAATTTTCTAATTATATATTCCCCTTTTAGAAAAAGACTATCTGCCATTTGCTCAAAACTGTAAACGCCTCCTACTTGAAATATTTCTTGATTATAAAGGGGGCGTAAATCTGCTAAGCATGTTTGAGAATTATCTCCTCTTTTCTATGATGCTTTTATTTACTACCAAGCACCAAGAAAAGTGTAGCGCTCTTTCCTTGAACAGATCTTGGAATCAGTAGTGCATTCAATACATGGTCATTTTCCAAAACTTGAAAACATTACAAATTCATGTATAAAGTCTTACTTCTTGTTTCCATTTCTTATTTAAGTAATTTTGAATGATGTTATCAAATTTATTTGTATGAGAATGTTTTTCTCCAAACTCTGTATACACTTTTAATGTAGTCTTACGCAAAAGAAATTCCAACATAGGCCAGTATCGTAGCAAATCGGTTATTGCCGGAATGTTATTATTTTTTCAAAATCTTGGGCATTGAGTTATTTATACAGTTACTTGTTCTTTATTGATATGTACTAAAATCCGGTTGCAGGAAAGCATTACAGTGCGACTTCCTTAATGTATGCATATATTACTGTTCAAATATTGACCATGGTCTGTTCTGTTAATTTTAAATCTTGTCCAGATTGAAAGATTGACCAGTCTATTTAAGATTTAAGCTTCTAAGGAAAAAAAGTTTTATCCATTAATCGTAACAATTCCATGGAATATTACGTTTCCTGTTTGGACAAAGAAAAACTTGTAGGTAAAACGTTTCTTTTTCTTTCTTTTTTCTTATTTATTTTTCTCAAACAAAAAGGGCAAAGATCAGATTGCATTTGACAAATCTAGTTTAACGGAGACTAAGGCTTTAATTGTTAGCTTTAATGCTAATTGTATAACTAAAGACAAGTATTTGTTTCGCTTGCACAAGCTGAAGTATCTACATAATAAGCTTCTCTGAAGTTTAGATACATGAGAACAATTAATCTACATTAAGATAGAATATATATGAAGTATTGAAAGTATATATGATAAACACGTTGTTTTAATTATAAGACACCCCATGCACGCGGCGGCTAGTAGATATGCATTCGTCCATACACCAATGGGGAAATTTTAGACTTGCTTTTTTTTAACAAAATAACACTGTTTTCAAATTCAGATTTTCTAGTAAAAATAGTTTTTCTGATAAACAGCATGTCACCGATTTTTAAGGAATTATTAAATTAACGTTGACTTTAGTGATAGTGCTTTTTTTGAATATCATATTCTTTTTATTTTTATCTTTCTATTTATCTTATAAATAACGTGTAATTGAGCCAGGGGTATGACTAAAATACTTAACGGAGATTTTTTGGGGCGCAACGGGCGTAACAAAAATTTTTTATACTTATTCATGAAAATAATGACCATTTAAGTAATTAAACAGATTGACTGAGTGGAAAGTAAGTTTGTTTTAAAATGTATCACAAATATTTGCAATAGTTGTTGTGAAAGATTCTATGCTGGCAAAATGGCCGCTAAATTGACATATTCTTGGCGGAACGGAGATATTTTTCTACATAGGGAACAATGTATTAATATAAATAATAATTATCAAACTCTGATTAATTATGTATATTAAATAAAGTATCAACATAAAAATTTGTTGTAAATTTCAATAGAGATTTTTATTTCTTTTAATATTTTGGAAGATTAAATATGCCTACGAAATGGACTTTTTTGGGATCTCAGTGCAACGGAGATAATTTTGTATAAAGAGTACAATATTTTTTTTATAAATTAAAATAATCAAACTAAAATCTATTCTATATATTAAATATAGTATCATAATGGAAGTTGTCAAGGCTTATTTTGTACATAACCTGTGACTGTTCACATCATTTGGCAGCGTCTTTGATGTGCAGATTCAACATTTAACTTGTATGATAATGACAGTAAATTAGTTTAGAGTCATACAGGTCATAGCTCTCGCAGAAGCGGTGATTGCAGAAGCGGTGATTGAGCATTCGACGCTGATGCGGTGGATAAATATGACTTTCCAGTTCATTTTTCTCTCTCATCGGTAAGTTTAATACCGAATCCTATTTTAACGTGAACCGCATAGTGAGACTGGAGCCCTTTATATACTCGTTCCGCTCCTTATAGTACACAGTCTAAATCTTTGCCATTTATGTAAAGACTTCTTTTTAGTTTGACAGGGGACGAGTGTTATATTTAATGACGCTTACATATTTCAAAATGTAACTTTTCACAATTTCATGTTTTATACTTATTGGTTAATGCAGTTATCAGTCCCTTGATGATTTTTTTCTAGTTTTTAATTTTGTCGTTATCATTTAGAAATGTAAAATTTGCTTAAATAAATAATTCTTACACTATCGGAAATTTTTCTATATAAACAAAGAAGGTCCGAGGCGTGCATTATTCTACAACAATGCACTTGCCGTTATTATTATTTCCCTGTGTATTTTCACATTGAGGGCGCCTTTTTGTTTGAAAAATCTGATAAATAAAAACAATGTTTTGTCGAATTTTGTTGTGAAAACTATCTAGAATGAAAGGAAATTGTCTAACTAAGAAAATTAATCCGAACACCAATATCTTTAATTCAGTCGTTAACGCTGTACAGAGGTTTAAAGTGCTGTTTACGTGACTTCACAATGAAGCGCAAAAAACAATCAAATAAAGAACGCTATTTTAATGTCGCAAACGAGTTAAGTTCTACATTTATTTCACTTTCAATGAATTGTATTTCGCTTGAAAAATTATAGAATGAAATAAAATAAACAAACAAAGTTTTATCAACGTTTTCGAAATTCGTTATTCTCAAAATGTTTCTACACACGGTAGATTTAACGACAGTTTTTTTTTCAACCCACAGGAACAGCCTTTAAAGATCGTTTCTACTGGAAACTCTAAGTCGAAAACAAATTTAACCACCAAACATTAAATCCAACTTTATAATAATAATTATATTTTTCTTGGCGTGTTAGAATGGAAATAGATATCAATTCTTCGTGCAGTAATGTATTATAATGCACGTTTTTCGTTCAAATGCTTGAATTCAAACCGTGCATTATTTTACAATAATGCACTCAGAATTGATACATATTTCCTAAATACTGCGGTGCAAGTGACGTAGAAGCTGCGTATACAAATTGCGATTTCAATTACAAATGGTTTCCATACATTTTCAATTCTGAGTTGGGGCGTTTTCAGTTCCAATTTTAATTTTTTAATTGATTTTTAATAACAACTTTAACATTGATGAAGTCTTGACCACTTGTCAAAGATTGACAATGCTTTACATTTGGAATTATTTAAATGAAGCAATATCACATGACTCAGTATGATAAAAAAAGAAACTTAAAAAACCCAAAACATCCATAATAAAAGTTGTTACTCATATTAACATTAACCTGTGTTTTTGTGTTTGTTTATGTTGCTGTATTTTCTTTGATTTTTAATAAAAAAAATCCAACAACAACAAACAAACAAACAAAAATTAATGAAGCTGGATCAATGTCATGCCTGTGTGTATCACGATAGACAAAAATGTTAAACAATTTTAATGCACTCTAGCATCATATGAAGCAGTATTTAATCTTAAAAAGTATTTTTAATACATGCAGAATAAATGTTTAACTTACTTGAAGTATTTTCTCCTAGTCGAAATCTGTGGCGAAGTTTCATTAGAACACAGAAAAATATCGATACGTTGTCGTTATACTCGAGTATTAATTTACACCCTTATCGTGGAAGTGTTTTTCCACAACATTTTTCATTGAATGATTTTTTCCAAATGCAAGGAAGTGTTGGTTCCTTGTTTTTATCTTGATGATTATTATTTGTTCACGCCTCGACTGGCCAACGTATGGCTGAGACATTTGACATTGTAGTACCAAGCGACGCCTCCGAAAATATTGAAATCTATCTCAAAACAGTGCAAAGACAGAAATGGGGTGGCTCTGATCAAATCAATGCTTTTAGCTGTGTATATAACACTTAAATATTAAAACCACACCATAGTTTTGGGGGCGGGTATATAGGAATTCCGTCACGTCTCATCTCGACATGTCCCATCTCTAGAACCGGTAGAGGTCTGTAGTACATTTTTTCCATTATTCATGCATGTACACATTGTTGTATATGAAGATGAGCTGTATATACCTAATTTGAAATAAAGTATATTTTCTGTTCTGATATTAACTTGAAACGTAATTATTATTTGTACACAGATGAAACATTATT